AATTTCTCCTTTGCCTTAGGGGCGCCCTACATTCCTTCTCCATTCAGGGGTCCTGGGAGATTTGCTCACAGGTGGTGCTGGAGGGGGTCCTAAGGAATGGAGTTATTTGGTTGGTGGATTGTTTTCTCCAGCTATAATTCCGCTTCCCCAGTTTGGATGTTGGCCTTTGTGTTAATGTGCTTCTTATCTACTTTTTTTTCCTCCCTTTCCATGAGAGTAGAATAACAGCATGCATTTCTGTTTATTAACCTAATGCCTTTTGGAGAAAAGGCAAGAATATTATTACTCATAACAAAAATTGTTTTTGCATTACTGTGGCTAGGGGTGGCTGATCCAGGTTTTTAGGGAGGAGCTCCTTAAGGAAATCCTGAAGGAATTAACAATCCTAAAGTGAGGAACAGAGCCTTGGGAGGGGCCCCTACAGTCGGGGACCCTGAAGCTTACCTTTCACTACATAGTACCTCCAGCTCTGGCTGTGATACTTTGGAATTTAAACTTCTCTTGTTTCCCCTAATCCCTCGTATCCCTGTCTTATTACTGGTGTAATTATTTGCTAAGTCATAGGAACCTAGATGTTTACTGGGCCTCTATGAAACATAATGGGTCCTCCCTGTCTCCACTTCTCCTTTTCTTCCTTCTTCCAGGTAAGCTGCCCTGGTTGACAGCAAGAACTGTGGCCCTCAGGTTGGGTTTTTTTGGCAACATCTGGTGACCTCCTTGAGGGCCTGGGTAGGGCTGGTGCAGCCCTGTGTTATCTGCCTCTTCTACCTGGCGTCTAGCAAGTGTGTGGCCTTAGTTGTAAGGGCAGGAGGTCAGCATCGCCCCGCGATCACTCTTGACTAAATGATTCAATGATGTGTCATCTCTCCCTTGCATACAAGGCAAATCAGCCTTTCCTCCCATGTACTTAGCAACCTCAAGGGGATTTTAAAGAATTACATCAATGATTTTAGTTATAGGGTTCAATAATTTGAGCTTCCAGCTGGCACTCTTAATGACAGCATGTATAACAGATAACACTATCTATACCTGCCCTGTAGAGGATGATGAATGAATGAATGAGCTAGTAAGATACACAACAAGGAGGACAACCGGGGAACAGAGATAGGAAAACTCAGTAATGAAGAAGGGAGAGGAATAGACCAATCTCCTGTTGGCTCTTTCAGTATCAGCAGTCAGGGAGTGGAGTCTACTTAGATATCTACATTTCCTTATCCACAAGAAGCTATTCAGTATTTTGTCTCTAAGAAGGCAGTTAATTTAGATGCAAGAATAAAAAGTTTCTATTATCAAGGAAAATGTTCTTTTATTAATAACTCCTACATCTTTTTCTGCCTGGATGAATACTACTACATGAAATCTTATTATATTCTGTTTTGCTACAATAATAGACTTCTTTAATAACCATTATTTATGGGGGCTTGTAAATGAAGATGGTGCACTACAAAAAGAATTCACACCCCAGTGATACTGAGTCAGGAGGTCATCTGAAACATTCCTCTGCCTTCCACCCAGGGTGAGGAAATAGTCAAATTATAGTTTAGACCATGAGTTTTCACAGACCTCTGTACTCTTTCATCAAAATGAAACTGTAATGGCCTTTGCACTCTGAGGAGACATGTTGTGTGTAGCTCAAGGTATTGGTTGATCAGAAATTTGGAGGGTGAGTGCATGGACAGATTTGTTTCAGGAAACATATTCTTTATTAAATGAGAAAAATCAGTTAAGATTTAGTACTTAGCTAATAAGGAACCCAGTGATTTGAAAAATGATAGCCATAGAATTTTTACCTAAGCCACTGTTTTGATGTTAGCTATTTGATCTTAATTTTTCATTTTTCTCACAAGAAGAGAGCGTATAGGCTGGCTTTCCAACCCTGGAAGAAATTTGGAAAGGGATCTCCATACCTATAAAACTAGCAACTACAGATTTCTTGAATTTGAGTTATAAATGGCTAACTGGAAACAACTTGAAAGGCCTTTGGACAAAAACTTGGTTAGGATTCTTGAAACCATGAGCAAAACCCTACTCCATGCAAAATAAGAAATAATATTTAATGTGAATTTGTTCTTCTCAGCCTGGGTGAGAATCAAGATTAGGTGAAGTGATTGTTAATAAGTTGGAAATGGGAATTAATAATAATATATTCAAACATTTTGAACTTCCAATTCTTTTGGAAGGTCTCTAGGATGATAATTCCTAGAAAAAATAAAATGAAAATACGACCTTCTTGATCCTATAGAAACATTTAGTAAAAGACACTGAAGCAAAATTTTCTCCAAGCCACCACTCCCTTCCAGGTAAATAAAAATGGCAGGCTGGAACCAGAATGTACCTAGTGTTCCATTCCAGCCTGGAGAGTTCTTTAACTCCATCCCCTTGTGGGTCTTTGTACTTCAGAAAGCCTTCTCATCAGTTCTCTAGAAACTTCAAATTGATTGAGGAAGCAAACAAGCAAACAGCCAACAAGCAGAAGAGAGTTAATATAACATCTTTTAGAAATGGAAATATACTGCTGGGCATACTTGGCCAGACATCATTAATCCTTCAGGAATTGAAGCCTTTTTGATGCAATTGACCTTTAAATCAGATTGGGAAAGGTACAAAGGCAGCTTTTCCCTATAACTCTAGCCTTGCCAAGGGGTTCCAGAAAAAGAAATACACATTTTTTTAAAGCATTGATTTTTATGCAAGTAGATCCTCAATTCATATTGGAATATGATCATATAACTCCCTATAACTTATGGAAATGCAACATCAGTGTCTAAGAAGTCTAAAAGAGGTAATCTCTGAGTAGTTCTCTATTACTGATATCTTTTAAAACTTTTTTTTTTCAAGTAGGTTCCACACCCACCATGGAGCCTAGCACAGGGCTTGAACTCATGACCCTGATCTCAAGACCTGCATGAGATCAAGAGTCAGATGCTTAACCAACTGATCCTATTATTTTTAAAAACCAGCTCTAACCTTTTTGTTAGATACTTAAAGAAGTATTAATGTCAAAAGCATATATGTTACAAAGAAAAATTTATGCTGGTGACTGGCTTCTTTTAGAAGACTCTTGAACTGGACAGAACTCCTGGTTGCAAGGGGCAGAAAGCCACCTCAGACTAACTTGGGCAAAAATGTTTATTGGAGGCGCCTTACGTTTTGATCTGTAAAGTTGTAACGGCATGGCATTCTAGTTTTAGAGAAGGGAATCGTGTCAACAGGAACTTCCCCACCTTCTGGCATTTGCAGAAATACTCATTTTGGTATCATTAGCTTCATTTTGCACTTTCAGTTTAATGAGGTTTCTAGAAGTTAGTATTGTTAATTGTAGGGACATCTGTGTGATTTTGCTGGTCCAGCATTCAGTTCTTCGCCTTCACATGACAATAATACCTAGATTTTCCTTTGGGAAACCAATACCTCCCCTATTCTCAAACCATGTGATTTACATGAAGTTGACACTGTGTGTTTGTCCAAGAGACATGCTAATGACCCAGCTCTGGCCAGTTCGAATGCCACATTCCAATGCATTCCAAGCATTGGCCAGTTGTGGTCCAAGGATGGAACACATTCCCCACCCCACCGAAACTGTTGGGAAACAGCTTGGGAATGCTTCTGAAGCATTGTGGGAATGCTTCAGTGTGGGAAGACCTGAATTAGAATAAAGGCAAATGAGAGGAGTAGAGTTGAGGGCTAGAAGTTCCTGAAGAGGATTTAAAGTCCAGCCATGTCCAAGCTGGACTGTCAGATGAGACAGTAAAATTCTTTCCCTTCTCCCCTTACCCCTATTTTGGTTACAGTCTGTTTGATTTGGATTTCTGTACCTTGCAACCAATGTGAAAAATGGCATCATCTTCATGAGTGGTGTTATAATTCCTAGTGAGCTCTCCTGCACCAGTCCCTCATATTCCGGATGTCTATTGCTACATAACAGATCACCACAAAATGTAGTAACATAAAGTAGTTATGATTTTATTTATCTCTCATTGTTTAAGGGGGGGCCAGAATTGGGAAGGGCTTGGCTAGGCAGATCTCACTTGGAGTCTCAATGCAGTTGTAACCAGACCGTGGGCTGGAGCTGGAAGGGAGCAGGCAGTGGGGCAGGAGGAGCCGGGGGCTAGCAGCACAGCATTGTCTCTTCATGAAGTCTGGGGAGCTCTGTGTTGACTACTTGGGCTTCCTCACTCAAAGTACTCAGATTGCTTACATGGCTGAGTTCCAAAACACTGGGTGTAAGTTGAAGTACCTTCTATGACCTAGCTTTAAAAACCACCATACTCTGCTCAACTGGTCAGTAAGGCTAGGGAGAGGCTATAGACCCTACCTCTCAATGGAGACATGTTAATGAATTTGCAGACATGTTTGTAAACCACCACCATGTTATAAGCAATTCTCACATTGTGAGAAGTTACTATAATAGGAATGATGCATGTAAGTAGTCTTAGTTTTGTGAAGACGTGTCTTTAATTTGTACTTTTGGGAGCTAGATTAACTTTCTCAAGTCATTAAGGTACCACTAAGCCTAGATTATACGTATTTAAAATTAAGTCAAGATTTCTCGTGATTTCAGGCTTCAGAATTTCATTTTGTTCCCATATTAGGCACTTCAAACTTCAACATGAATAGCATTGGAAAATGCTTAGATTTGTGTTAATTCTCTACTTCATCATTGTATATTGATTTAGTACTGAGGTGTGGTCATTTGGTAACTGGTAACCTCAGTCAATGTGGCTTCCAGAAGTGCTTAATTGTCTTAGTGACAGTTTAAGGAGTTGGGAGTATCTTATTTTATGGACTCTATATGAAATAGCAATTGGGGTGTGGATTTGTAAAACTTGACCCGGGTTATGGGTCGATCACTTTGCCTCCCTGACCAGTATTAGAAATCCTCCTCTATGCCAAGTGTTACCATGGAATAAAAAATTAGAATACAACTCTTTTCAACTTTCTCCCAAGTGGAAGAAGTCAAATAGATCTCAAACTAATTTTTTTTTTTTTTTCTGTTTCAGAATGTAGCAAGTAATCCTTCGGAATAAAACCGGCAGTTGAGTAACTCATGCAAAGGTAATTTAGAGCACAAATTAAATCTGTCAGAGTGGTATTAGATTTGCAAAAGCTCATAAATAACAAATGAAAGGTCACAGAGCTGTGAAAATGAGAGTGTACTTCTTCATAAAGAGAACTGTAGTCAGGGATGGGGTCCTCAGTGCGTATTCAAATAGCGGCATATAAAATGGAAACGCAACATCTTTTCTAAATGTCTAGGACAGTCCAAAGGCACAGTGGACTCCAGAGAAAAGTGTCAAAGTCCTAAAAAAGACCCTTAATATTATCCAAGCATGTCCAGCCTCATATCTGGGAGGCTTAGGGATTAAAGCTTCATTGCCTGCTGAGAATCTGTACAGGGAAAATACATCCCTGTCAGCAGAGCCTGTATTTCAGTAATGGTTAGACTAATTGTGAATGCATGTAACTCATCTTTCATATTTTAGTTCCTAGAATATACTAATAGAGTGAGTAGTTTTTCATGATTTATTGCAAGAATGTAAGCAATTGGTGGTGATATTAATAAATAGTTCTGCCCATTCTGTTTTTCTTATGGGAAAGAGAGGTGGAAAATATAGCCCTGGCTACTATAAAGTAAACAAACTCTTTTACAGTGCACTGTATGCAGAATTTTTTTTTTTTTTAGTGCTATGTTGGGCCTGACTTGTGTAAGGGAAACAAAATATAGATTTATAAAAAGCAATGTGTGGGCTGCATCAAAATTAAAAATTTTTTATGTTGAAGGACACCATCAAGAAAGTGAAAAGTCAACACAGAGAAAGGGAGAAGATATTTGCAAATCATTTATCTGAAAAGTATCCAGAATCCAGAATATAGAAAGAACTCTTAAAACTCAACAATAAAAAGACAGTAACCCATTAAAAAATGAGCAAAGGATTTGAATTGATGTTACGCCCAAGAAGATCTACAAATGGTCAGTAAATACATGAAAAGATGTTCAGCATCATATCACTTGCGAAATGCAAAACAAAATCATAATGAGATACCACTTCATGCTCACTCAGGTATAATTCAAAAAATTAATCAAAATAAGGATTGGTAAGGATGTGGAGAAATTGGAACACTGGTATTTTGCCAATGAGAATGTAGTGTGGTGCAGCCACAGTGGAAAACTTCAGCAGTTCCTCAAAAAGTTAAACTCAGAGTTACCCTGAAACCCAGCAATCCCACTCTTAGGTGTATATCCAAGAAAACTGAAGACTTATATTCACACAAAAGTTGAACATGAATGTTACAGCAGCATTATTCCTAGTAGTCAAAAAGTGGAAGCCACCCAAATGTTCGTCAACCAATGAATGGATAAAGAAATGTGTTATATCCATATCATGAAGTATTACTCAGCAGCAAAAAGGAAAGCTGTACCCATCCATGCTACCACATGGATGACTCTTAAAAATGTTATACCAACTGAAAAAAGCCAGACACAGGAGGCTATATGTTGTATGATTCTGTTGACACAAAATGTTCCCAATAGGCAAATCCACAGAGACAGGAAGTAGATCAGTGGTTGCAGGTGTGAGGGAGAGAAGGGCATTGGGAATTGCTGCTAATCATACAAGCGTTCTGGAGGAGTGCTGGAGAAGTTCTGGACAAAGGGCTGGGTTCTTTTTGAGCCTAGAAGGGAAGCAAAAAGAGGAACTTTAAAATTATCAGGAATCCTGGACGCCTGGGTGGCTCAGTGGGTTAAGCCTCTGCCTTCAGCTCAGGTCATGATCTCAGGGTTCTGGGATTGAGCCTCCCATCGGGCTTCCTGCCTGCCGAGCACTGCTTCCCCTCCCCCGCCCCCGCTCTGCCTGCCTCTCTGCCTACTTGTGATCTGTCAAATAAATAAATAAAAATCTTAAAAAGAAATTATCAGAAATCCTAAACCATTTTGGTATCTATCCTTTCAGTCCTTCTTCTAATTATATATAAGCCTAGGAAATACATATTTCCTTTTTTCTTTTTTTTTCATATTTCCTTTTTTCTAAAGAAGAAACAATTTCATGAGTAAAATGTGTTGGAGTCTTATAGTTTTAGCTACTTTAAGAATTCAGAAATTGTACATTAAACACATGTGTGAGGAAACATCTACGGAGACATGCGGCTTCAGAGAGATATAAGATGGTGTGCTCATGACCTGTGCTCTCTCAACATCTTCTTCATAAGTAAAATCTAACGGATTTTGTAAATCCGTTATATAAATAGTACGTGGATATATAAAGGTAATGGAGATGGAGCACAGGCCTTCCAGGATAGGTTGGGGATGACATGGAGAGAGTGTGGATGGACATCAGCCATCTGGTTGCTTCATTGCCTAAGGATGGCAGGAAGTCACCCAGGTCTGCAGGAGCCTCTGCAACATGAAAATGGCAGTGGCAGGAGGTACCCCCGCCCTGTCCCCCTCCTGATTTACCCCTGCCTGGCTAGCCATGGGCCAGCTGTTGGGGTCAAAATGTGTGGATTTCCAGTAGTTCTAGAAATTGTTATATTTTTTCTGATTTAAGGAAGGGGAGCTGGGTGTTGGACCTGAATTCATGGCACCATATTCACTTTCACTTAGAACACAACATTTACATCATAGTTACCCTGACTTAGAAAACTATATTGACTCTAAAACTGTATTTTGAACAAAATGATAGTAGTAAAAATATTCGGAAATATTATACAGTATTTCCTCTGCGACAGACACTGTTCTTAGCGCTTCACTCTGTTACCTCACATCATTCTCATAATAAACTTTTGAGATAGGAAGTATTATGATCCTCTTTTGCAGATGAGAAAACTGAGGCACAGAGTGGTTAAGTAACTGGCTCAAGTTTGCATAGCAAAAGAGTGTTGGAGCAAGGTTTCAAATCCAGGCATGTAGCCATTATCTCTGTCCATTACTTACATATAGTAGTACACACGTGCTATGCAATGAAGGCTGGGGATGTTTAATTTCAGGGGACGTTAAATAACGTGTACTGCTTAGTGCAAGTACCATGCAGAGGGAGCTCTTTCGATTGGTAACTAGAAGAAATACCGTGGTTCACAGAGGCTTTGATAAAAACATGCCCCTTGGATTGTTTGGTGCATGGGAAGTATTGGTGCTGACAGTGTATTTCACATTACAAAGAACTTCGGTATTTAACTCGATATTTAATGTTAGGTTGTATCAAAAGAAAACCAGATGGCATCCCTCTCACCCTGGGCAGGGCTGCAGACTGTGAGGGGCTAGGGGCTGCAGAAGCAGGGCAGAGTCCTTCCTCAGCTGTGTGTAAAACATAGCACCACTGCATTCACTGAAGATGAGATCATGTTTCTCTCTGTCCCCTGGCAAATGAAAAATATCTTTAATATTGGTCTGTTTCTTCATCATAGTTTTTAAACAAGTGCCTAGTACAGTGCCTGGCAGTCCCTTGTTAAGGGAACAAGCAGCTCTTTCCCTTCTCGAATGCACATTTGCCTGGGGAACCAAATGTAAACAGAAGATGGGGAATGAGCGTGAAATTGGCCAGGCTGGCATCAGCAAGCTGCTACTGGGTGATAAGAATTCCACTCTTATTTCCTAATAGTTTGTCTATTTAAAAAAAATAATGAATGCATCAGTCTATCTGGAGTTAATTGCAGTGTATTGTACATTGTTTGGTTTTGCTTAATCTTTCCAGTTCTTAATTAAGTAATCAGAATACTATTCAGTTAATATTTTCCTGTTCTATAATTTTGAAAAATTATTTATATCATGTCAATATTTGTGTGTATTTCTGAGCTCCTTAGAGTGTTCTATCTTCTGTATTCATTTTTATACTTTCTATCCTGCTGTCATAAATATTAATTAATATCTGATCCATTCATATTGATTTTCTCTATCAATTTTGTTTTGTAATCTATTCTTGATCTATTTATTTTGAAAATAATTTTATAATTATAAATTAATCGCATTAATTTATAAAATTAAATATACTATTAATTAACTAATAATTATAAAATGATTTTGCCATGATTTAAAAAAATCTCTTTGAATATTCATATTAAAATTTGTAAACAAAATGTCCAACTGGAGTTTTTTTCTGCCAGTTTAAAATAAAGTGACTATCTAATGTGACCCCTTGTGTGGGCAATAGAATGATGGTATTTGCAAAAGAGTAGAACATGAGGAACAGATTCTATGGGAAAGCAGTAAGATGGCAAGCAAATAGCACGTATAAATTAAGATATATATCCACATTCTTAGTGAGCTGGACAGTTCAACCCTAGTAAAAGATTTTACTGCTCTGGATTTTAATTGAAAAGGAGAGAACCAGAATGAAGGAAACAATGATGATTGGTTAGTGCTACGGTGATACTTTTACCTCATTTTATCAGTTTAAGTTGATAAACTTTGAATCAGTCTTTGGAAGAACAGAGTAACACCTAGCATTTACAAATGTGGATTTAGTGGCCAGACTGTCTTGGTTTGAACCAGCTCCTCTCCTTATTTGCTGGACTTCAGTTTACTCAAATGGGATGGTAATAGTGCTACCTCATAGGGTTGTTGGGGGAATTAATTGACATGTGGAAAGGGCTTCAACAGCACCCAGCCAATACTGTTAGTTATGTAAAGGAGATTTTGAACTGCAAAGATCCTTTTTGTTTCGGGAGAGGCTAAGTTACCTACATTCATTTCTTTCTTTCTTCCTCCTTCCCTCCCCTCCCCACCCCTCCCCTCTCCTCCCTTCCCCTCCCGTCCCTTTCCCTTTCCTCCCTTCCTCCGTCTTTCTCTCTTTCTCTCTTTCTCTCCTTCCTTCCTTCCTTCCTTCCTTCCTTCCTTCCTTCTTCCTCTCTCTCTCTTTTTCTTTTTTTCCCAAATCTGAAAGTCTACACTGTATAGGTTTTTTTGGGCACCATGACCCAGGAAGGCTGCACTCTCATTCCTGGCCTTCACCATTATCAAGGAAATGCTCTTGAACTCTTGTACCTGACTTGCTCATTGTTGCATTCTGGCAGACATCCCCTGGCCTCCTGGCAAAAGTACCTGGGATTTCATTAAAATCCAATCTCTCTTGATACCATCCCTGCTGTGTATGAGAAAAAACTCCAACCCATGGAGCTTTAGCTACTTGATTAAGAATAGCTTGGGACTGGACCATTCTAAGTGCTCTAAAATTACCGTGTACACTGTTTCTCTCCATGTCTACCCACTTCCCAGTGCCTTTGGCTCCCTGTCTGCCCCGAGTCCATCCTCCCAGCACAGGAGCTCTGCCAAGTCTCCCATGGTTTCCTGGAGTTGGACACTGAGACGAGTCTTGCTTCATATTTCAGGTGCGAATTCCCTCCGGTGGTCCCAAGTTCTGGCTCCCAGGCCCTCTGTATGAGTGACGCTTCAGTCTGCCATGGAACCTGGCCCTGCCCTGGCCTGGCTCCTGCTCCTGAGCCTGCTGGCAGATTGTCTGAAAGCCGCTCAGTCAAGAGAGTTCACAGTGAAAGACATTGTCTACCTCCATCCTTCAAGTAAGACTCTGTTCTCTTTGCTGCAGAAATGTCATTTTACTTTGAATAAGATGTGAGTTGAGAAATGGACAGGAGAACTCAGCCTTCTGCAGGAGAAATACTGGCTGACTTAATTGGGGGGTACAGGTGCTCCCAAAGATGTTGTATGTTTTACCCTCCCCTTTTTATAGGGTGTTTGTTTTTTATTTCTAGGCAAATCGTTAAGGCTTGTTTTCTCTGTTCCCAAAACAGTCGCTCTGATTCTGAACACCTTTCCCTTTAACTCATGCCAGCTCTCAAATCAGTTATCAAAGTGAACCGGCATGTCCCAGGACGGAGGTGTTTGTCAAAGATCAGTCCTTTGTAGGCAAGATAATAGCTGGTCTTCCTGTCTGTGCATCTGATTCTCCATTTCAGCGTGATTGGCCTCCCACAACTTCCTATTCCCTATCCCTTTTGGTTACCTGTGTTCAAGAATTATCTAGGGAGTGCATAATAATGTCGGTGCCCAGATACCTTCCCCGGTGTGTCTGATTGCACATATCTGGCACTGTACTCATGAATTTTTGCTTTCAGCAAGAATTTCAGCTGCTCCTGTTACTGGTGGTGTTCTGAGGATCACACTTGGGGAAAACACAGCAGTTTTACTTCCTCTTTTGAGCTCTGTCTCTGTATTTATCTTCTCTCTTTTATATCTGTTTGAGTTGTATTCTGCAGGGCCCCTGTGGAGGTGAGAGCTGGGTCTATTGGGTATATTTTGACCATTAACATTTGTCCTGAGGTATGTAACTCTTTGGAAATGTTCTGTTCAGCAAACATTTTTTGAGTGTCTATTATGTGTCAAGCACTGTGATAGGAGGTATTAAGGCAAATAAAACATAGTTCTTGCTTTGAGGATCTCGATAGCCCAAGTGGAGGCAGACACACGGACTCCTTCAGCTCCACACAGTTACGGTATTTAATGTGTCTGTGTTGTGCTTTAGATGAGAGGTGTTCCGCGGAATGCACAAAGGCTTGGATCTTGGGTGAGTGGCTAGTTCAACTGCTTTGTAGCCTTCTGTCTTACAATAAATTCCCTAATTTTGTGAAGGCTAAATAAAGGAAAGTGTGCAAAGCACTTAGAGTAAATGCTCAATGAATGGTAGAGGCATCTTGTTAAGTGTTGAGTTCTACATTTCTAGAATGGATAAGATAATACACACCCTGTTGCATTATTTTGTGGACTAGAAAGAATAGCCATAAGATACTAGGCACATATATAGTAGGCATTTGGATGTTCATTGCTTATGATGTTGTGGTAATTGGCTTAGGTGGTCAACTGAGGTTGCTGAAAATATGTCACTCTAATTTTTGAATTCCAAATATATGTTTTACAGGCAGCAGATAGTTCTTGGACTTAATGCTTTTGTACATTCTTACCAGTAAAGGCTGGTGCCTACTGGTTAATTGTGTGGAAAGATTATCTGGCTCCTTGTTTTTGTAGGACTGTTGATTTTTGTAATCATGAAAAGAAGGTGCTTGGATACTTGCTGTGTTTTCTAGGATTGCATTTTGTTCTTTTCCCCAAAGAGCCATGCTTTTTTATTAGACTTGGTGAACAAAAACCTAGATTTCAGTCTCGGTTGTGATTGCTAAAACCTTTGGTTTCTATGGGATTCTTTGTTCGCATCAGTGATAGACTCAGTAGTCACTAGGCCAAAAAGTAGGCCTCCCCTGAGGCTGTCATTGTCCACACAGGGTGGGGAGGAAAATCAAGGGGATTGGATTTAAGTGTGCAAGAATAAAACACACACACCACTCCTGTGCCAGTGCTGTGGTGGGTCAGTGCCTGGGCTGAGTGGACCCCTATCTGAAAAGGCCATTTCAGAATGGGATCTCTGAAGGATGAGCTCTGCCAGGCCAGAGAAGCAATCACTCCCACTCTCTGGAAGTTGGAGAGAAAGTTCCGCTCATGTGGCCTGTTTTAAGTAAATAAGGCCATGGCCTGATTAGAAAGAATTCACCATAGTGAGGTGCCAGAGTGGCTCAGTCGGTTGAGCAGCCAATTCCTGGTTTCGGCTCAGCCCTTGATCTCAGGGTCACGAGATTGAGCCCCATGTTGGGCTCTGTGCTCAACATGGAGTCTGCCTCAGATTCACTCCCTCTGCCCCTCCCCCGAATCATGCTCTCTCTTTCTCTAAAATAAATAAGTCTTAAGAGAAAAGAATTCCCCATATAGAAAGAATTGGTAGCATTTTCTGATTTGATCTTCAGGTATGGAGGCTAGAAGATGTCATTTCTAAGCTATATTATACATCAGTGATTTACCAACAGCTCTGAGTTGAGTTCTCAGAGTCTCTGCGACTGGTCACAGAAAGTAAAAATTCTTGCTGGATTGAAGTTACTGCCAACAGTTCCCACTTCACAATTCTCTGCACCATTTCGGAAGTTTTTGATGTTTGTTTGCTTGTTTTTACACTTTTTTTTTAAGATTTTATTTATTTATTTGACAGACAGAGATCACATGAAGGCAGAGAGGCAGGCAGAGAGAGAGAGAGAGAGAGGAGGAAGCAGCCTCTCCACTGAGCAGAGAGCCCGATGCGGGGCTCCATCCCAGGACCCTGAGATCATGACCTGAGCGGAAGGCAGAGGCTTTAACCCACTGAGCCACCCAGGTGCCCCTATACTTTGGTTTTTTAAAAGGTCATGTTCCTCTGCCCCTGAGCAGTACCCACTCGACCAGGTTTAGATAGAGTGATCTCTCTACAAATAAGCTGGTATCTGTAGAACATAGAGCATAAAAAATAGAAGGAAGAGTGGGATTATTTTGACTTTGAATTATTAATATAATCACCTCACTTTGTAGATGGAGGCACAAACAGCTTTCCTGGGGTCAGCGAGTGAGCCAGATTCCATCAATGTTAGATACCGCTCAGAACCTATCCAAGGAGAAATCAGTGATGCCAGAGATGTTGAGAAGACACATGAATTTCCTGCACTGGGCAAACAAACTCATTTCCCATGGGCTGTGAACAGCCCTCAGAGATCCTAAGTGGGGTGAGATTGAAACCTGGTGGGGAAAGTTCAGCATCCCATGACTAATCTCCTTTGATCTCTGGTTCTCTAATTTTTCTGTTTTCTGTTTGTTTGTTTTTAAAGATTTTATTTTTGAATAATCTCTAAACCCAGTGTGGGGCTAGAACTTGCAGCCCTGAGATCAAGAATTGCATGGTCTACCAGCTGAACTAGCCAGGCACCCCCTGGTTCCCTAATTTTTAAAGTTTCTAACCTTTGAGGAAAAAAATCAACTTTATGGCTTTCAAACTTGAGGCACTGTCCTCAATAACATTCTTTTCTATAATTTGTATGCTTTTCTTTTCTTTTTCATTTAAAAAATGTTGAATTTCTTCCCACCCTATGATTAAAATACCAAAGACCAATAAAACCTTCAAAACAGGAGTTAGCATTCAGAGAAATGGAGTGACTTATTTGGGTTCCAGATGTCAGAAGAGTTAACATCCTAAGTGGTTGCAACCTGTTCTTGGCCTCCATTTCTTTACTCATAATAGAAACCTTTCCTGAGAAATCCAGTTTCCCCTCTGGTTGCATATTCTGAGTCTTAATCACATGGAACAAAAAGTTGTATCTCTGAAGGGGGCTTGTTTATGCCCAGATAGTGAGCCAACCAAGTTTCTTCATAATTCTATGCTATGTAGGTCTTAGGGAGTAAGGGAACTCTCAAGAAAGGTATCAGAAAATGCATTTCTGTCAGAAATATGTTCATAGTCTTCAAGTGATACTGGCAAAATTTTGTGGCTAGATGGACTCAGAAGGAAGATCGATTTATTAGAGTTCTAGAAATTTTAAGTTTGCATCCAGTTTCCAAAAACAATGGGAATTGATTTGCAAGAATAACACAAGTTTGGATGCATTTCGTAGCAGCATGCCTCTTACAAGATTCTCTTCTCACCACAGTTTTGATAACTGAAGGCCTTTGTCCAGGCAAAAGTTCCAAGAGATGGAAACAAAGATGAAATCTCTTCCATTGCCTTACGAATGTATTATAGTCGGTTGAACCACATCTGACCATGGGACTCTAATGGACAGATTAAATTACAGGAAGTAACTAGGCACTTTGACGTTTCTTTTTTTCTTTACAATCACCTACTCTTGAGGGACCAAGGACTTATGCCCTGAAATACAGAATACTAAGCTTATTAACTCTGTGATCAAGAGCCAAATTAGATTCATTCACAGCTGAGCCCACAACGATTTGAAACTCTACTTGCCCTGCAATGCTTTGAAGTAACAAAGAGGAAAATAACACATCTCTTAGGAATCTTTTTCCTTCCTTTTAAAAAAAGAACTTCTTTATCAGATGCAGTATCAGTTAGCAAGTTACTGGAGACAGTTGCTCATCTGTAGACCTTAGTTTGGGTTAAATATTTCCAGAGGGAAGAATTTAACCATTTACTTGGCACTGTGCTATAATTAGCCACTTAAAAAACGGAGGCCCTTTGAAAAGATTTGTCACTGAAAAGAGTTTGATTATTCACTGATCAGTACTACCAACCAAGATGCAAACACAAGTTCCTATAAGCAAACATTAGTGGTTGAGACACACACAGAAATGAACTTGCAGATTTAAAAGTAAAACTCGCTGAAAAGGAGATCATTTAGTTAATCGTCAGTGGTATGTGCTGATAAACATGTTTAGAGATAAATGATGTGAAACAAAGCGTCCTTTTGCTACCATAGTGTGTTAGCTCATATTCCCATTTAGATTTTGATACACTCTGGGTTAACTTCAGAGTCCAGACCTCCTTGTGTAAGTTATTCCTAATAACTTAGTATTTAATGTCATATGTCACTAGTCTTACAAAAGGTCATTTTGAAGAGTCTATTAAATAATCCAGATTTGGGAACACTACAACTTACTAGTGCGAGGTTCTCAATAAGTTTATTCTTGCAATGGCTCGATCACTAATCTTCATTCAGAGTTCTTAATTTATCTCTTTGATGGGAAAGTTTCCAGGAATAACTAATCCAGCATTCCGGTGAAAAGTTTTACTGGCTGTAGTGACAGATAAAATTGGATGCTCTCGTGAATTAATCATGCAGTTTGAAGGGGAACGGCTAGCTTGCAGTTATAAACCTAGGTGCATATGATGATAATTTTTTGAGAAATACTTTCTGTGACAAATCATTTACATCTTTTCCCCCCAAAACACTTACTTTGATAATTCCTCAAATTTTACAAGCTGTTTTAAAGTTTTTTTTTTTTCAAATACTTTTTAAAAAAAAATATTTTATTTATTTATTTGACACAGAGAGAGAAACACAGAGAAAGAGGGAACACAGCAGGGGGAGTGGTGAGGGAGAAGTAGGCTCCCTGCTGAGCAGGGAGCCCGATGGGGAGCTCCATCCCAGGACCCTGGTATCATGACCTGAGCTGAAGGCAGACGCTTAACTGAGCCACCCAGGTGCCTCTTAAAGTTCTTCTTTTAAACTGACTTATAGATTACACATTTTTAAATTGATAGTGAAGCTAGTTTTTCCATGTACCCAATCAGACAATTTCCTAAAATACTATGTATGGGTTTTCTCATAACAGTATATGTCCAAATAAGCTAATTTGAGTGTCCATAAGAATATGGAGTGGCTTTGGAATTTAAGAACCTGTTTGTCAGGGAGCCTGGGTGGCTCAGTTGGATAAGCGGCTGCCTTCAGTGCTGGTCATGATCTCAGGGTCCTGGGATTGAGCCCTGCGTGGGGCTCCCTGCTCAGCCAGAGTATCTGGTTCTCCCTCTCCCTCTATTCCTCTCTCCACTCATGCACGCTCTCTCTCTCTCAAATAAATAAATAAAATCTTAAAAAAAAAAAGAACCTGCTTGTTTTAAATTCTTCAGGCATGTACTTACCTAAGTAGCATCTTTCAATTCAAATGTAACTCACCTATCTAGACGGCAAGATGTGGAGATATAAACATTATTTGTGTGTAGTTTTACGAAATAGTGTACTTCTCTTTTATAATAACTGTACGATGGGGAGAGTGTGTCTCCTCGTGGTGAAATTTCCATGGTGAAGTGCGGCTGTCCGTTGTAAAGTAGTTCACGCACTCACAATCATTGTTTCGGAATTTGAGTCACCAACTACCTGAAGGAATGTGGTTAGCTTCTAAAGAGGTCCAGTTCCTTGTCTTTTTTAGACAGTTGTGAGTTTGGGTCCTGTCAGGTTCTTGGATATTGTCAGTCAGCTCTGTGACATGTCTCAAGCAAGTACAAGGATGGTAGCCATTCCACGCAAGGTGAAAATCAAAGTTAGAGCTGGCCCATAATTTTGGCCTTAAGCTGCTGCCTCCTCCTTCATTTATTTTTGATAACATACTTAATTGGTTCCATGTGGGCAAAGCAATTTACCCTGAGATGATGATTTCCACCAGGGGGTTACGCAGGCTCAGCCATCTGCGAGGGAGAACAGTTGGTCCTGCAGATGAACTGTTTGAGCGTCTGTAGTTTTCAAAGAGGCCAGGTAATTTTACAAATTAAAAAAAAAATGCAAAAGTTCTGTTTATGCAAGGCAAAACTCTGAGTTGATAAGCAGCAAGTTAAAGCACATCAGTGAAACGGACAGAGACACCCTGGCGTTCCGGGCACCCTGACACTGGGGAGCTCGTCCTTAGATGTCCGCTGGGCTCTTCGTGTGCAGGGTACAGTCTGCAGCATGACTCTCACCAGGCACTTCACTGCCTGAGCGAGCTAAGTGAAGGCAAAGATACTCGTACCCAGAGGACAGTCTCTTCAGAAGGTAGGAGGGGGCAGTTCAAGGGGGAGGGGAGAGGAAAGGCTAGGAAGGGCTTCCTGGAATCACCCATTCCTCAGGTTCGAGCTAGAGGCCTTTAGTGGCTCCACATCCACCAGGTGCCCTCAGCAGGTTGCCCCATGGATGCTGGAAATGGGCCGAGACAGCCCTTGGGAGCATCACCTCTGCACAGCATAGATTTTAGTAAAGAAGACTTTTTTCTTAGCTGATACTTACCATCTCTAAGGGTTCTTTTTTTTTTTTTTTAACAAGAATTTATTTGATAGAGACAAAGAGAATGAGTGGTGGCAAGGGGCAGAGGTAGAGAGAGAAAGAGAGAGAGAGAGAAGCAGACTCCCCGCTGAGTAGGGAGCCTGATGCAGGACTGATCTCAGAACTCTGGGATCATGACCTGAGCTGAAGGCAGTCGCTTAACCTACTGAGCCTCCCCGTTTCCCTGTCCATCTCTAGTGATTCTTAATCATGTCAAGTCAACTAGATAAAAATATCAGATTGAACCAGAGATATGGCCAGTTTTATAGTTCAAAAATGGTCAAACCTAAAGAAATTTTTAATGATTCAACCTAATATTTATATATACATATTGACATGTCTATGTAATTGAAACCGAAAAGTGAATCATTGGAAATCTAGAGCAGCTAGTTTTTAAAAAAATTTTTTTTATTAACATATAATATATTATTAGCCCCAGGGGTACAGGTCTGTGAATAGCCAGGTTTACACCCTTCACAGCACTCACCATAGCACATACCCTCCCCAATGTCCATAATCCCACCACCCTCTCCCTACCGCCCTCCCATGGGCAACCCTCAGTTTGTTTTGTGAGATTAAGAGTCTTTTATGGTTTTTCTCCCTCCCAATCCCATCTTGTTTCATTTATTCTTTTCCTACCCCCCCAAACCCCCCACGTTGCCTCTCAACTTCCTCCTATCAGGGAGATCATATGATAATTGTCTTTCTCTGATTGACTTATTTTAGAGCGGCTATTTTTAATTGGAATTTTTTGGGGGATAATTGTACATTTATAAGCAGTTCTAAGAAGTAACACAGGGAGATCCCATGTTCACTTCACTCACTTTCCCCCAATGGTAACATTTTGAAAAACTATAGAATAAAATCACAACCGGGTCGTTAACATCGATATAATCAAGCCACCTGTCTTATTCAGATTTCCCCAATTTTATTTGTGTTCAGGTGTATGTGTGTGTATTTCGTTCTGCACAGTTTTCTCACATGTGTAACTTTGTGTGTCCGCCACCAAGTCAAGACACTGCACAGTTTCAGTAGCACAAGAATTCCTCCTGTTGGCCTCCCCTCTAGCTTCCTCTCACCCTGGCCCCAACCACTCCCATCCCTAACTCCTGGCAATCACCAATCTTTCCTCCTTTTCTAAAATGCTGGCATTTTTAAAATGTTCTATAAATGGAATCATACAGTATATAACCTTTGGGGATTTTTTTTTTTTCGCTTTGCAAAATTCCCTGGAAGTTCATACAAGTTGTCGAATGAATTAATAGTTCACTCTTATTGCTAGTATTCCATAATATGGAGGTACCACCGTGTGTTTAACCGTGCATTCATTGAAGGACATCTGAATTGTTTCCAGTTTTCGGCTATCACAATCGAAGTTGCTGTGAACATTTTCATACGGGTGTTGTGTGAATATTAGTTTTCATTTCTCAGAGATAAATGCCCAAGAGTGCAATTGCTGAGTAATGGTAGTTACATGCTTAGTTTTTTTAAGAAACTGCCAGGCAGGCTGTTTTGAGAATACTTTCTGAAAAATAAAAATGTCTAGTTTCAGGATTCCGTACTCAGTCTAAGAAAAAATTAATCATTTTTCTTGATCCTTTTTCTAGCCACACCATATCCTGGTGGATTTAAGTGTTTCACCTGTGAAAAGGCAGCAGACAATTACGAGTGCAACCGATGGGCTCCAGACATCTACTGTCCTCGAGGTAAACTCTCAGTACACAGACTGGGGTGCCCCAAGCTGTCCATGAGTGAACAGCCTTGCTGACTTTGACGTATAGATAGAGGCATGCTTGCAATTTCAACCACTTCTCTTGTCTAAGGCTATTAGTAGATCTTTCCTCATCAACTTATCATCAGAGGTTTTAGAGACAAAAACTAATCATAGACTTGTCCCCTTTCTCATGAAGCATCACTGGAGTGCCGAAAGAGGTAAGAGATCCTTCCCACCCCCAGGCTCAGCCAAATGCAGGACAAGAAGAGAACAACCAGCCTGTTGGCCACTCTTTGAAGCATTAGTCATTGCATAGTAACTTCTTTTATGTAAAGTATGAATTGATGTTCATATAAAGATCCCATTTATTACATATCTTGCCAGAGGCACCTATCCTGAGAGTGTATGAAAGCTAGAATTCTAAATGCCATCATTGCACAAAAAAACCTGAGCTTTTTAAACTATTAAGTTCTTTTTGAAGGATGAGATGGATGCCCAATTAAAGCATGAAATTTTGACCCAGAGGCCCATTTCAAAAGGAAGTGGAGGCTTCACATTCACATTCCTATCTCTTTTATTCTCTCGAATAAAAAAAGACAGTTATATTTGACTATGGAGTTACTATTAATCGGCTGTTTTAATTTTGGAGGAAAGTTCATTTGATGGGGAGATGATGAGAACAGAGCATTTTATTGACAAATGTTTGAGAAGTTAGATGGGTTTCGCGGAGACTTAATCCAGTTGTTAAAATGACTGAATACACCAACATCAAATCTGTTATTTTTTAACATGATGCAGGAGTTCTCATGCTCATCCTAGGGAAAGGCCCTCTTTCTCCTATGGAGGACTGGACATCAGGAGAAGGTAGAAAATGAAATTAAGACACAGGTGCCCGCTGTGTAAGACAGTACTATTTAACCCATCAACTTTCACCTAAGCTGCCCAGTAGAAACACCTGTGGATCTCTTCAAAATCACTGGAACCTGTGTCCTCCCTAGGCCAGTGGTCCTCAAGCTCTATCATGATCAGCATCCCCTGGAGGGCTTATTAAAACATAGATTTCTGTGTCCACCCATGCCCCATTCCTGATTCAGTAAGTCTGTGATGGGGGCTGAGAATTTGCATTTCTAAACAATTCCCAGGTGATACAGATGCTGCTGGGCTGGAGACCACACGATAAGAAATGCAAGTTTTACAGAACTTGAGCCAGCATCCCTGAGATCGGGGCGCTGCACTGCTAGATTCAAATACTGTAGTTGATACTAATGACCAGTCAGGGGCAAGAACAACTGGGAGCTCCTCCCCGCACTAACAGAAAGTGAAATGTACTGTTGTCATTTCCAACCAAGTTCCTCTTGTTTACTTTTACGTAGAGATGCTAATGGGGTCCCAAATGACCGTAGGGAAGAGAAAAGCGTGGAGATGCTGAAGATTAGCTTAATCACAAGCTAGATATCCCACCATCCTGGTAATCAGAGCTAAAAAGTTCTGTCTGCAGTGCCTTCTGCAGTCACGTGCTTATTTTGGACTAAGCCAGTGTTTTTCTAACATCACCCCTACATTTGGGTAGGCTGCTTCTCAAGCTTGGTGGCACATTGAAATCACAGAGGGAGATTTTAAAACACTGAGGCCTGGGTTCGATCTCAGGGATTCATATTTAAATTGTGTGGGGTGTGGCTGAGCACAAGGATTTTTGAAATTGCCCCAGGTCATTCTACTAGGTAGCAAAATTTGAGACCCACTGTAAACAGTGACTCTGGACAAAAACAGGATGGTTTGCTTGTGTAGCCAATAACCTTTGGGATGGTTCCAGCAGGGACAAAGCTGGCAGGTTAGCTTTTGAAACAGTTGCCACGAGTCGGATGTACCACAGGACACGTGGGGGTGCTTTCTCAGCATTGCTCTAGCAGAGAGAATGCAGAGGACAAGGAGGGATTGTGAGCTGGGCCAGATTTCACAGAGGCCCAGTCCAAGTCTGAGGGTGGGCAAGTATATCCCTGCCACAAAGGAAAAACAGGTGACCGGTAGCACTCTGCTTGAATTCCTCTCAGGAAAGGAGAACAATCCCTTTTGATGCTTTCTTCAAAGGTCAAAATCTATTCTTCCAATGTACAGATATTGGAGAGAATCGCAGTGTTCACACAATTTCTTTTTCCCTTCTTTCCTCCCACTTTTATCTTTTTGTCCTTAAATTTATAAGGATAAGTGGAAAGTGATGCCCTGAGTTCATGACACAGAACCACCCTGCCAGGCTTTTTAGGGGATTAGCCAGTGAAAGATAGGAATCTGGTTTCTTCTTTCCGGGAGCACCCAGTTAGCTGGGGAGATCAGATCTGAATGCATCAAATGTCAAAAATATCGGGACAAAAGCAAGTTGCCAAGTGAAGCATGGCATTCAGTGCTCTGAGAGCTCCTGGGAACAACTGCTATTTGGAGGCTGAGGTGGCTAGGGACCGCACTGTGGACCAGGAAGAGGCGAAAGCCTACAAGTGGGCAGCCTAAGCGCAGTGTGGAGGAGGGCGTGGCTTCTGGAAAATCACTCATAGCAAAGATGTGGAGAGGGGATTCCCAGGTGTGCTCACTGGACAGCAAGAGACCGAAACTGGGCAGAGCAACTAGTTCATGTCGGAGAATAGTGGGACCAAAGAAACGCAGCTTGATTATTTTTGTGGGGCCTTGACCCTTTCAGGGAAGGAGTAGAGACTGAAGCTGTAACCGGAGAAGAGACGGAGCCACACCTAGCTTCCTTCTTGACCAACCCAACTTCCCAGGAGCCATTCTCTTTCCTCCTGGGTTTTCTCCAAATTTTTCTCACGATGGAAACAGCGTCATAATTCTTAAATTAAAATCTGAGTGTGTCTGACGACTAAAAACAACTGACTAACCCTGGACTTATTTTTTCTGTTGTTTATTAGTTGGAAGCAGCTGAAGGACTACCAAGAGGCTTAGTCAGGGAAGGCCAGTAGCCGCCTTGGAAGAACATCCTGGCTTTCTGTGATAGTCCTGGGTTTTTGTTTGTTTCATCGCATGTTTAGCTAGGTTTTAATTATCACATGATGTGAAAATAACTTGTTGAAAGTGAAAAAAACCATTTCATGTAAGTATTTAATCTTATCTCTATGGAACAACCCCCCCATTCCAAATAGCTTAGGGGACCACCTGGGTTTCAAGAATCTTTGAAAACCGAACTCGGTCAAATGGATATACACAGAGACTATTGTATTTTAGCAGTTGAGGTAAGCTTGCTCATAATTAAGCAGACTTGTTATGAATCATCATTTGGCAAAAATAAGCATCAAGAAAGCCTTGTCCTAACTAGAAACACTCTGTCAGGCAATGGTGGCATCAGCCAGTGACCTCTAGCTAACTCAGGTTCCCTATCACTCTTACTTTTGACATGTGTGTTATGTCAGGATTTTCTTCTCTGTCAGTTTGTTATTGCCTCTGGCTCTAACAGATTCCTGCTACCATACAGGAGAATTTAAGAGCCCTCCATGGCTGGCTTCTGTTTAGTCTTTGGTCTCTGAGCACTTCCTGGGCAATAACTAGAGTTGGAAAGAATCTTGAAATCATATTATATGAGGGCCAGTTAAAGGAACTGGTGAAACCAGTTAAAGGAACAAGAGTTAATGGTATGCATTCAGATCCAAAGGTTTTGCCTGTGTGCAAGGTTAAAAACTCTTTGAGAGAGGGGCTGTCTTGGTGTTTATTAAGAGTCTATGGAATTGAATGTCAAATCAAAAACATGACTGTTTTCAAAAAGGCACGTTCTTTAGAGGATGTCTAAGCACCAAAGGCCCTTAGGTTTCTTCTTGAATATGAAGAGCCAATGCCTCCCTTTAAGGTGAAATCTTTACTTGAAATTACCACCAATGCAAAATCAGACCAGGAGAAATATTGAGATGGAGGAACACATATCCTTTAGGGGCAAGCTTCTACGCTGCTCATGGTTTTTCTGTGGAAGTGAAGAAAAAGCTGCGCATGACACTGAGTGACTCTTTTTATATGCATTACCTGGTATAAGCAGGAAATATACCTGTGGTCCCCAGCATAACTGAAGACAAGCTCCATGGTTACAAATTTTCAGGAAAGACTTCTTTATCATTGACTTCTTTCAGATGGAACCCAGGCTGAGACAGACAGCCTTTCTGTGTTACTTCACCTATGGTGGATTCTTTTTTTCTCTTTTAGGGAATGTTAGGATATAGCCCTTTAAGGTTTCTACCGTTCTAAAGGGGTCTTTATTCTAGCTCTAAACCCCATCACGACCCCAGGCTTCACATCTTCTTATGGCCTATCTATTAACATCTCCCAGCCCCCACCTCTATCCTGGGTAGAGAACTTAGAACCGAGCGTTGGCCCTTAGAATTTCTCTTAAGTTCAGCAGAGTTCATTTGTATGTCTACAGACAGTATTGGCTATGTCTGTATTGGCTATGTTATCTGACATTCCTGGCTTCTGTGTAATGAAGTGGTGTTTAGGCAACCTATCTTGGCATATTGCTAAATGGAAGTTTTAGACTTCCTTTTTTTAAAGTAGAAATTTTAAAATTAAAGTGTAACATCCATGCCAGAAAGTGTATAGATCACAGGTGCTGAGCTCTTTGAAATTTTACCAAGTGAACAGGCTATGTGTCTGTCACCCATGTTAAGTAACAGAACTTCAGAAGGCCACTAGGGTCCCCCAGTCGCTACACCCCATCTCCCGGAGGTAACACAATTGTGACTACGGTCACTGAGCTGTATATAAGTGGAATCACAGAATGTATTCCTTTCTTTTTCACATTTTCTATGTGAGAGTCATCCATGTATTTGAGCCACAGAGTTAGTCTCACGGATGTATATGTACTGAAATTCATCCATTCCACTCTTTTTTAAAAAAATATTTTTATTTATTTATTTGACAGAGATCACAAGTAGGCAGAGAGGCAGGCAGAGAGAGAAGGAGGGGAAGCAGGCTCCCTGCCAAGCAGAGAGCCCGATGTGGGGCTTG